AAGTTAATAAACAATGATTTGAGTTAAATACACAATGATTTAAGTTAATTACACAATACCACATACAGTATTATACAGTAATACTGTTCCAGCTTACATGCAAATTCAACTTAAGGACAGACCTTGGGAATGGAACTCGTTCTTAAACTGGGGACTACCTGTACCTGAGTTACGTATGATGGTGGAAGGGAATGTCTATTTAGCTTTGTGGAGGAATCTGATGAAGCATGGCTAAGTTTTTCATAGTGATGATTAAATGTCATTGATGGTAGCTTTAAATAGAGACCATAAATTTATTGTACAGTTTTTTTTTTAAAAGTCTATCATTTTAACTGATGAGGTTTATACCTTCCCGATTCCTCCTAGGCTTGTGGACTTTAAAATGTAAGACCAGCTGTAAATAATATCAAGAATTTTTAACAAATCAGAATAAAAATCTTGGGTAAATCTCCTTGGGATTAATAGTGCAGAAGCCAGTTTCATTTGCCTTTGAGAAGAGTTTAGGTTTGGAATGTAAAATTCCTTTTGATATTTTACAACTTTTGCTTTAATTGCTACTTCTGATTCCAGTAATATTGTTTATTGCTTTCATCAATGCAGCTCAAGAGTTGCTTAATGACTGGATGAATTCAAAATTGAAACTGGAACTGGCAAGTGATGAAGACAATGATGTTCAGAATTCAGCATCTCACTCTGTTCCTTTACAAGAGCCCATCACTGGCTTTCAGAAGTATAAAAAATTTGATGGTGAGACTTGCCTGATTTTAAATGATATATGGATGTCATAGAAGACCTCTTCTCTATTTTGTTGTGTTCCTTTGTAGACAATCTAATGGCCCTCAAAGGTAGAAAGATTAAAATACCTTTTAAAAAATGGTGTAGCAACAATATGAGTTTGATTTGTATCCAGTCTTTCTGCCAAAGGGCAATCAAGGAACTTAACAGTAAAAAAATAACTACTTATGTTTAACAGTTAAACTGGTAAAAAGAGTTAAACACAATGTAATAGGAAATTGCGGTCCACATGATTTGACTTTTCTTAGAGGTATGTGTGTATTTATGTATGCGTTTACAGGTAGTCCTTGGTTAACGACCACTCATTCAGTGGCCATTTGAAGTTATGATAGCACTGAATGCATGGTGGTTACGACTGGTCCTCAAAGTTCCGGCCGTCCTAGCATCCCTACAGTCATGTGATCACAATGTGAGCACTTGGCAACCAGCTTGCACTTATGATGGTTGCAGCGTCCCATGGTTGCATGGCTGCAATTTGTGACCTTCCCTGCTGGCTTCCACAAGCAAAATCAATGAGGAAGACAGCAGGGAAGGTTGCAAGTTGCTCAGGTAAGTCGCTCCCACCCATGCACCTCCCTGAGGCTCACTGTGTTTCTGCCACACCTCCCCAGCCATTCAAGCACATTCCCTGGTCACTCGTGCACCTTCGTGCACCCTCTCCCACCCAGCAGCAACCACCCCAAGCCCTGCTGCACTCACCCCACGCCTCCCTGGCCACCTGCGCACCCCCTTGTTCTCTCTCCCACCCGGCAGCAGGCACTTACCTGCCTGCTAGGCTACTTGCAAGGCACTTGGGGCTTGCAACTTCCTATCAGCTTCCCTGCTGACTTTGGTTGTTGGAAGCAGGCAGGAAATTGTGAGGAGCTATTTGCTGAACCACCCATGATCCTCGCTTAATGATGGCAATGGGGACTGCAGGGAGTGCCATCGCTATGCAGTGCGGTCACGTGATGTCGCACTTTACAACTGCAGTGCTTAGCAATAGAAATTCCTGTCCCAGTTTTCATTGTAGCTCAAGGACTATCTGTATAGATAAGTGCCAAAGTTAATATACATTAGAATGCTCTGTTCTGACACGTAAATAGTTCTTTTCACAGTGCAGACAAAGTGAAACACAAATGAAAAGCTATGTTTGCTTTGAAAATTACTATTAGCTGAACAGTGTAGTTCTTCATTAAAAATATCATGCTTGAATCAGCATCAAATATTTAAGTTTACATACTTTGAAAAGGAAAAGGTATCTTATTCTGAGCATGCATCTAAATTGGTAGCCTAACTGAAGGGGGGGTTGTCTTTCATAGGCTTAGTATATTTATTTCCACTCTCATTTTAACATCCTTAGGCTGAAAACCATGCTATTGGAAAGTGAAATTTTGCTACTGAATTTCAGTAGTGCAAACTCAGTGTGATTGGGTGTATATGGAGAGATTTTTAAGGGTAGCAATAGGTGTGTTTCAGCTCACAGAGGCTTAAGACTTCCACTATGGTTTTACCATTTCTAAATATTTCTTTAAAAAACCTTCAAAAAGCAAACATTTGCAGCTCATTTTTGGTGTTATGGAGTGCTCTAGGAGGCACAAATAGGAAGTTGGGGATGGCACATATGGAGATTGCAAGTTGCGACTCCTTATTTAGGATAGATGTTTATAGATACTGTTTTACATTCTGTTTCAATATGATTTATATATTCTAGATTTCTATGGTTACGTGGAACAAGAGGTGGAAAGCACCACAGTGCAAGATTTTTTGCAGCATCTATTGCAAAGTGAAATTGTGAATAGTGGTATACTGGAAGACCTTAAAACTAAAGGCATCAGAGAGAAAAAGAAGCCCAGAGACCTACGAATTACCATGGAGCTAAGGCATAAACAGGTGAAAATACAAAGTTTATGGAAAGTTTATATTTTATATTTCTTTATAAATTTGCTAAATCTTGATATTGTTTAAATTAATCCCATAGAGGAAGGAAAGAAATGCAATCTGAAAATAATAAATTGAAAGTATAATGGCCTGGTTCAGACATTATATTAAGCTGTAATGTGGCTTGTTTGTTTTTGGCTTCCACCTATTATTGCTTAGTATCATGTGCAAATCAGGCATAATGGCTTGTTTAATAAAGGGGTTTAAAAAATCATAGCATTTTTGTGAGTTCAGCCTTTATTTCCCAGGATCTTCCAAAAGTGCAAGATTATGTTGTTCTTCACTGGTGATGTAACTAAGTCTGATGAGAAGGAAAGATCAAAAGAACTTTTTTTCTATCCCCTCCAAGGAAATCACATTCAACCTTTCACTCTGCCTTCTCAAGACAATCTGTGAAATATAAATTAAACAACTATTACTCTTTGCCTTCTTTATCCCTCTTCTCCTTCACCCAAGGAGAGAAGCAGGACAAGAAAGGATAGCCATACAAAAAGCAAGGCTAAATGAGGAAAGGGAAATGTTAACAGTGGCAGAGTCTGCTTGGATTTCTTAAAAAGGGTCCAAGAATCCAGAGTTCGAAAAATGGCTTCACTCTTAGTCCATTCTGTAAGTGAATTAGAAGATTTCACCCTTATTTCAGGGGAGAGAGCCAGGTGGACTTCTCCTTAGGGTTCTCTCAGAAAAGGAAGGAGATAAACTTTCTGGCAAAGTGCCTCCATCAATGCCCTCACATTACAGACTATTTAAGATGGTACAATACTCAGTACTTCTAGGCAGATCAATAAAAATTCTTTAACTGGAGCAGGCAAACATTGCAACAGCTCCAGCCTTGCACTCATTTCTCAGTCAGCTTCCAAGTATTCCAGAAGAGACAAGATTGGATTCAACAGTCAAGGAATGGAGAGACTTAGCTAAGCCCAGACTATTTCTCCCAGAAAGAGCCAGAAGTATTCAGCCCCAAAGTAGACATTGGAGGCATTGTGTACTGCATCTATAGACAACCTACTTGTAGCCCTAACATCTAAAACGTGGTATCCCAGGTAGAGGGACAATTCGCTCACAGACCCAGGTACTCAGTGAGTCAAAGGAGTGTTGAGGTACCTGTATGATGCTGCAGTCCTAGCCGTCCAAGTTGCATCAGTCATAGCCAGAGATGTAGTATTATCCATTTATATTTTTATTGTGTTTAAATGCTACTGGAATCAGGGTATACTCCCTATTTCTTGAGATTCCAGTGTTTGAAAGTCTGAATAAGCTGGCCTGGACTCCTGAATTCATGGACAAGTCTTCTATGGATATCTTACAGTTTTTGCCAGGACCAAGGCCTCAGGCATAACAGTCCACTGGGGCTTGTTACTCAAACATGGAAGGTAGATCATCAGTTCAAAGCCCACCTCACATTAAAAAAAAAAACTTTTTTAGGAAGAAAGCTGCTTGGGTAAATTATTAGCAGTGGAGCTGATCAAGAACAAAGATCAGAAAAAAAATACTTGCTCTGCTCATGAAAAGGAAGACAGCAAAACAAGAAATAAATTTTAAGCTACTTTTGCACTAGATTCAGGACATCTTCCTTTTTTTTTTTTTTTTTTAGTTCAGGGAACCAGCACTTTGAACCTCACTGGTCTTTCTTCCACAAACCTTTGTGGGTGTTCCTCCTAGAGCAAGTAGGGGTGAGGGGCCAGAGCAAATGAACATAAAAGTGATGGCTGGGCATCTAGATGTCTGATTGTAAACATTCTGGCACACCTGGAAATCCAACTCCACTCATACATATATGGTAGAGTCAGGATGGGACTTGGCTCATAGAAAGCCAAGAAGCAGTTTTCTCTCATCCCCAATCTACGGGAACAAAGAAAAAATACCTCAGTGTACTCCAATCTCTTACACCTTAGACATTGACAACATAGAGCATCTACCTGTGGAAGAGTATATTTTCTTGAGAATTTTTCTGTCCCCAATAATAGGGATTGAAAGATAATCCTGAACCTCAAGACCATCAACATGTACATCAGGGAACTTTCAAGATGGAAACGTCTAATTTAGCCATAGAGTCCATTCAGTCAATTCCCTGAAATCAGTAAACCTGCTGGAGGTCTACTTCCACATTCCCATCAGATCTTTCTTAGGTTCACCTGCAACAGAAATCAGCTCCAATTTTCAGGGATTTATCCTTTGGTCTTTTAATCAGTCATCACAATGTTCAACAAGGTGTTCTGAATCTCTTTCCAATTAGTTTTGTTGGATCACCCCTGTCCTATTGTTTTGAGAGAGGGAAAAAAAATCTCTGTCCACTTCCTTTATGCAATGCATGATTTTATGCACACAATTATTTTCCCCTCAGTTGCTTAGCTTACGGAGGACAGAGACTGCTCTGGATCAGGAACCTGTCAAGGGAGACCTCCCACATCTCATAGGGAGAGTAATCCTCACTTCCAAAAGCCCATCCAGTAGTCCTGTTGTTCCTCATTCTGTGTCTGCTCACAGCCTACTCACATTCTCACAGAAAAGGAAAGAAACAGAGAGCAAGACACTGAAAGGAAGGCTGGAGGGAAACAGCATCTACCTTCAAAGCATTACAAACAGAAAGATGGACAAGAGTCAAGTGAGAACTGTAATCTCATGTGCAGGGTCTTCAGCTGTACAATCCTGAGCAATGAGGAAGACCTATATCCAGTGGAGAAGCAAGGGAGAGACACACGAGACACATATGAAGCTCAATATACATTGGGGTCAGATGAAGTCAGGGTTAGCTGTTGAATGGTGCCTTCACATGGATTAGCATACACTGAAACCTTTCTGAGTGAAGAAGCTGTTCAGGGAAGCAGTTGACTCAATCTTAGTGGAAAACAAGGATAAAAGAAATCATTGCCCACAGCTCCAAAGAAGAATCTGCACTGTTCTTTCAGGTTGAAGATCATACACCAACTTTTTTTTTTTTCAGGCAAGAAACCCCACTCATGTTTCCAGGTCCAGCAACAGAAGGGCACATCCAATAGAAAAGATGGAGGAGGCAGGGACCCCACACTGTGATGTCTTCACCTCCAAGGTGGTGGGCAACTGCAACAATTTTGATAACCCTTAATATTCATGTAAGGACAGATGGATGTTAGAGATGGTTCAGTAAGAATATATACTGTTCACAAAAAAAAAAAAATTCCTGTAATCCCCTATCTAAGAACAAAAAGAAGCATTTCAGGATGAAGATAATAACACATTTATTAGACATTAGAATGACAGAAAATTTACCTGCAGAAGAGACCTCTGGCATGTTTTCTGTCTTTATGGTGCTGAAGAAGAATGGAGATAGGAGTTCATCTTGAACCTCAGGCTGCTAAACAAACCCATCAGGCACTGAACCTCCAGAATGGATAAATTAAAGTCTATACCAGGAGTCATCATACTGGATGACTTCTAGCCTCAGTTGACCTGTCAGAAGCCCACTTGCATATTCGAATTAGAACTTCCCATTGAAAGTTCTTTTAGTATGCATAGGGGGATAATGTGTTTTAGTTCAGAATACTCTTATTTCAGGCTGGCATCAGCACCAAAAGCATTCTCCAAAGTGATGGCCATCCTGGTGGGCAGTCTGAATGCTTTATGTCCACAGTTATATCTAGCTGGATGGCCTATTCATCAGAAAGAAGGCAGCGAACAGCTTCAATCTAATGTTTCATTGTCTCCAAGAATGTGGCATCATAGTAAATCTAACCCAAGAGCATACCTGATGCTGTTCAAATGGATCTTGCACCTGGGAATCACTATCAGAGGAAATAAAAGTTTTTCTGTCTTAAGAGTGAACCCTCAAACTTTGATAGAACATGAAGGAAATCCTAGCTTCTTGAAGGCTGATCCTTATAAAGATTACAGAATGTGATGATCGTAGCAATAGGTCTCTTTCCACTCCACATGGGTACAATGGCTCCTTCTGCTTTAGGGCCAAATTGCCAACTGAAGGTTGCTAAGCAAGATAATCCAGTTCCTGCACTGGTAGCTAATCCCAGCCAATCTGTTACAGAGAATGCCACTTAGAATGCCTGTCAGGGATCAGATGATCACAGACACTAGCCTAGAAGGTGAGGAGTCCACTTCCTGGTTTTATAATAAATCAACATTGCTGATAACCATCTGAAGCTGAGGGTAGTATGGCTAGTTCTGCATGCATCAGACTGGAAAAGTACAGTAGATGCCACCTATTGGTGCAAAATACAATATAATAATGTTCTGTTTAAATCATTAGGGCAGATCAAAGGCAAACTGAAGTCATATGATTAATGATATAGGAAGAGAAATACTTCTAAGTCCGTATCAGTGAAACACATAAAGTTGTAATTGAATACCACAGAAAACTTACTGATTAGGAGAATTGGTCCTAATTCCAGAAATATCCATGAGATCTCAACAACATAGAGATACAGTACCTCTGTTGACCTTTCATATGAAGCATTTCTTTTCCTGCTTCTGAGACAACAGCATTGAAGGAATCGGTGGCTTAGTGGCATCATGGGCAAAAGAGTACTTTACTGGTGTCCAAGGTGGTGCACAAAGTGAAGCTACTCAAGGCGTGAGTGATTTAAATTACTCTGTTGTGACCCAGGAATCTGACTTTTCACCCTGGTGGAAATGAATGAGTCACCTGTGGCATTTCCCAGAACATCCAGACATCTTGTCTCAAAGGTTAATACTGCACCAAACCCAGACTGGCTGCATGGATATTAAACAGGGACAGCTCCTGAACAACAACTGTCCAAGCTTAGTGGTAGACTCCTGTCTTAATGGCAGCCAGTCACTGCCAAAAGCTGTGAGCTGCTTTGTCATGCCTGTGAATTGTGCAAAATTCATACTCTACAATGGAGGTCCTTGGACTATTGGGCTCCCTACAGATATGGATGGATAGAGGGCTGAAAGCAAACACATTGCATAGACTAGCAGCCCTTTGGCATCATTCTTCTGAACATACTGAGAACCATTTTCAGGACATGTTCATGCATGTTGCTTCTTCAGGAGTCCATTCCTGCTCTTTCTCATATTTCACCATTTCCATCCATGGGAGGTGTTACTGGTACTTAGGGCATTAATAACCATCTCCTTCAAACCCATTAGATTGATTCTCGTTACTATGTTTATTTGGAGGCAGTCTTTCAGGTAGCCTTAGCCTCAGCTAGGAGGGTTGGGTTGCTGGGGGGCACTTGGGGAATCTATGAGTGTTCTACCAGGTCAAGGTGGTTCTAAGGCCAAATTCCTGCTTCATGGTCAGCTCCAAATTCCAGTGAGCATAAGAGATTGTGCTTCCCAGTTTCTGTCCATATCCAACTAACCCTAACATAAGCTAGGGCTTTGTTACTCCCCTCAAAATAAAGGGGTGAAAGTCCAATAGTTTATTCGTCTCTCACAGAACAGGAAATCGGGGGATCACATTTACCATCCCACTGTTAGCAGATGGGTTAGAAAATGTATTGCCCTGGCATATAGAACCAGCAACAGACAGCTCCCCGCTATAAGGGTTGGGGGTCATGTTCACAGCCTTAACAGATTATCATTAATGGATATCTATAGAGTGAATACATGGACAGAGCAGTCTATCCTTATAAAACTTTATAAAATATAGGTTTGCTTCCCCAGATGCAAACTTTGGCCATTACATGTTACAAAGGGTGCTAAAAATAGTTACACTGACCCACACTGGGAATTTAATTTATGCATTAATTTATTCAGTTTGGGCACTGCCTGACTCCAAACTGACTTAGGGCAGTATACCATAAAACCAAACAAAATATTAAAAAATACAGTATAGTAAAAGTATAAAAACAGATGAATAAGAAAGGGAATAAGAAACAAGAAGTGATGACAAGTCTGGATAATAACACCCACAACCCCAAACATATCTGACAACCACTCTAACCCAGGACTTGGGAGAACATCCAAGTCTTCAGAGCTTTCCAGAATGCTATCAGGGTGGGCGCTACATGGATATCAGGAGGCATCTCATTTCAGAGGGTAGGTGTCATGACAGAGAAGGTATGCTTCCGGGTCCC